TTCAGGAAGGGGGCGATCGAGATATTCACCCATTCTCCTTATTTCCGCCACACAGTTCTTGCAAAGGAAGAGCGCATTTCTTATGCTCTGTGCATTTGTTTCTTGCATAACACCGTATTCAGTGTTATTTCAGGCATCTAACGGCGGTCTGTAAATGATCTAGTTTTGACCACACAATCCAGTGATTGACATAGTGAGCATCTTTATATACACAATTGGTGTGGAATTAGAAGCATAATCTAACGCGACCACCCCTTCAGTCGCCTCATTTGACAAGACTGGGCTGCTGCTGATCAGTTCTAGCCAGGATCCTCTTAGGAACTAAAGACCATGTGTTGGCCAATTTCCGGGTGTCATGGAGTATTTGGAACCGACGGCGTTAGCCGGAGGTTTCAAATGAAATATCCCCGTGTTTCAAATACTCAATAACACCAGGAAATTGGCCAACACATGATGTTTATCGACATTGCAAACACGAAAGTAAACCAAAAAGTTCACACACGTTTTTTGTGTCTGCTCTCATTGACATCGAGTACGGGTACAGCAGTGAAATGTCATCAGCCGGCCGTTTCGGCTGTGTCCCATGGTAGCATCTGGAACTGCTCATTTGTGACGTCATTCGGACTTTACGTCACAATATGATTTTAATGACGTCATCACAGCTGACGACGTAACAATACAATGGTGTGAGCGATGTTTGTATGTATTAATACGCAGAGAATTTCCGGGAATCAAATACCATTTGATCACGTTTTTCAACCAATCAGATTAAAGAACACAGTGACTTTTGGTTTACAATTGTGTTCAAAACTACACAAGCTTAATTACCAGCATGCAATGAAAGTGTAACCTTTCTTGTAATGCTGGGTATATTTTATTGCAGTTTAACCTGAAACTACACAAATTCTTAGGTGACCCTGTAAATTTAAGCAGTGATGCCCTTTCCACATCCACAATATAACTATGCCGAAAGCCTTATGACTACATATCATGAACATGTGACAATAAATCACACTTGAAAAGTGACGACGCATTTATGGTACAACTCGTAATAAACACACGTAAAGGGAAGTCACTAAAGTAAGGCCAGAAATGCTTGCGAAATGCCTTTTTTCAATTCATTGATAATAGCTGATATTTCATATTAAAAAAACATATATACTCATTCATACAACCTCTACCTTATATGTGGGGCGGTGGAGTAGCCTAATGGTAAAAGCGGAGGCTCGTCACGCCGAAGACCCGGGTTCGAATCCCCACATGGACACAATGTGTGAAGCCCATTTCTGGTGTCCCCGCCGGGATGTTGCTGGAATATTGCTAAAAGCGTCGTAAAACCAAACTCAGTCAGTCAGTCTACTTTATATGGCATAAGAGTAATCACGATGTACCATTCCCAAATCATAAGGATTACTCGTAAAATATCGAAAAACTTAGACAAAATTCCATGGTAGAAAGACTTCAAAGAAACAAACTATATACTGTGACCCACCTGGCAGGCAGACAGGGTGACAGCGTGATGTAACGCACGGGCAGTGCATGTCAGAGGCCGTCTCAAAATATCAAGTGTCAGTGCCACTGCTGGTCGAGGACGCTAGCCCAATTAGAACAGGTGAAACTCGGCTGACGTTAACGCAGTACGCCGTCCCGTAGACCGTATTTGTCCTCGATTTTGAGAACACGGTCTTCTGCCTTTCGCCACACTTCTGGGTTAATTCTCGCAAAAGAAGCATACGCAAGCTCTGTAACGTCTAAAAGCGTGAATGCGGTATTATTGCGAGCGATACAATTCTTACAGTTACCCCATATCAGCTCGATTGGATTGAGCTCACAGTGCCGTACTGGTGTACGCAGAACTATCGGCCTTGTTTTGCAGCTAGTTAGTCAGTGATGTACTGGATTGGCTTTTTGTGCTGCCAGATGTTTTCCATGATCTGGGGCCTTGTTTCTGATTGCCTGTAATGCACGTTACAGGAAGTGACAAAATCCTGCAACTGAGCCTTGAGATTGCTCATGGTGGGTTTGATGGTACCAGGGACACGCAGGTTATGGTAACTGGCGTTATCCAAAATGATAAAGCTGATGTTCGAACCAATCCAAAAATACCTGCCTATTCATTTCGCTATGGTCATCACCATCAGATTTCTTGGCCTCAAAAAACAAAGTCCCAACCCCCAATCAGTCCCTTTCTACAGGTACCAACGTGCAAGATGATCAGGCGTGTACCTTTACCTGATGGTAACACTGGTGCCTCACAACAATGTGAAGGAAGCCACTACGTTCGGTTGAGTGATTTTTATTACACCAGGTTTCATCAAGGTATATAATTTGAAATCCCAAATTGCGGTATTCTTCAAATGTTCTGAGATAAGCTAATTGCATGGACATGATTAAGTGCTTTTCTCTAAACACAGCTCTGTCATCTCCCCTTTGGTGTACCTGAACCCCATGGCCATTTCTACCAGAGCTACAATAAGTGTTGTTTTCGAGACATTTATTGTATCTTTGATCTCATGTTGTATTTTAGCACATGTAGTTGGGATTTTGCGTTCATACAGCTTATAAATTGCACGGCGTATGACACCCTTATCAAAGCTATCCAGCTTGTGCTTCCTACCTGGTTTTGATTTTGAGACGTCCCCTGAGGTAACTGATTTGTTTACAACTTTATAAACCTGACTATATGTCAAATTAAGGGCTTTACACATTCTATAGTAAACCCTGTCATAATTTAATTAGTTGAGGCTATATGAATAATTATAGTCTGTATTTCAAAACTACAGTTTGCACTTAGAATATTTACGAATGTTGTTAAAACGTCAAGATTTCCTGTGAAGGTAACCCATCAAGTTCATTCTTTCATCTGAGCTTTAATATCCAACTAAGAAGAGTCGTACATGTATCATATATATGTTTTTTTATCTTGTGTCAAAGTCATCATATTGACATTGAAGCCAAAACAATAACAACAGACATGGGAACACATGTTGAGGCATATCACCTGTTTCATATCTTCGAATTGTACTATGTATATCTCAAATCCATCATGCACAGCCGAAATGTTCTTCCAGTCATTAACGTGATCAAATATGGATCCAAAAGGTACTGAAACATAATTAAGATACACTAGCAACAGGATGATTTTGTGGAGTTAGCCCAGTTAGTGTTAATGAGTGAGTAAGTTAAAATTTAACGTAAATATTTTAGCCATACAGTGATGAGAAAAGTGTTAAATACACAATGAATATAAACTATTACAATATCAGTCATCGAATGACTGTAAAATATCTAGAATATCTCAGATGGCCTAAACTAGCTAGTCAATTTAAAAATATTTCATTTACAAAGCAAATACAATATAAAAATGGGCTATAGGTCGCCAACAACTGAAGGTAGATCACCATACCAGGGACCATGGGGACTTGCAGTGACTTTGATACCTGCATGGACCCCAGCTGGATTTACACCATCCCTTCATCCGCTGGCGATTGTATGCCACTATTTAGCCAAAATTTAAAAGAACACAAATACTATGTTTAAAAAAATGGTCAGTTTAAATTTAAGGTTGAAAGATTTGGGACTTATGTATCCTCTCAGTAGGACAATAATTTTACGATACTTTAACCCCCTTCGAGGATACAGCCACTAGCAATCGCAGTTGTTAATTTATACTACCATGTTTAGAATACCATTTATCTATTTACAAAACATATTATTCAAAATTAATCTAATAATTATATTTCCTAAATAAAATGAAAATACGACATAATGGTCTCCTCAAATCTGGACTGACAACCCAAGTAGGTGTAACCAATATAAGGTTTTATAGCTTGTAATTTATTTTTACCTACTTGAGTGCCCCACTTCTTCTGCATCAGCGTTTGTAATCTGAGTATGGGATAAGAAGTGGTTTCACAGATTTGTTGAGTGCTGCCTTGGCAGGAGATCAGCTATTGTGTTCCCAGAAATGCCAACATGGCTGGGTAACCAGCAAAAGATGATGTCGCATTGGCCAGAAGCAATATCATTTTACAATTCAAATAATTTCTATTAAGGGTGGATATTTACAAGAATTTATTTTTTATAGCCTGAAGGCACGAAGAGAATCGGATAGATTATGTATTGTTTATATTTCCGGTGTTATTTATATATTTAAGAGCTGCTAATATGGCATGAGCTTCTGCTGTGGAAATAGAGCTGTTATTTGGTAGTCGACAAGATATTGTTCTGGATCAAATGACAGTGGCATAAGCCACGGCACCACCATCCTTTGACCCATCTGTAAATAAGAATTTGCATTTACTATTTTTACGTTTTAATTGATAATATTCTTGTTTATATTGTACTTCATTTGTTTCCGATTTTTTAAATGTTGTCAGTGTTAGGTCAACTTCTTGTCTAACTAATTGCCAAGGAGGACACGAAAGCAGACGGGAAGGAGATATATTTTTTCTAGCTCAATGCCAGCAGCAGAAAGGAAAGGTTTGACTCTTAGTCCCTGAGGCGGAACAGTTAGTCCTGCAAAATTGAAAAGTAATCTGATGCATGACCCTCGTGCAATTCATCTGCATAAGGTTTGTAGTTGGTTTCCCCAAGTTAGTGGTGAAATTCACCTTCGGGTGTAACCACATATGCATACATAACATTTAGTGAGTGCCTTAAGTGAGTCTAGAATTTTGATGGGTTGTAAACATCTTCCTCCTGTTTTCGAAATCGGCGAATGAGAACTATTATTCAGTTATTGTCCTTTGAATTTAAAGTTTTGAGTGATCTACCTTCAGCGATTTATAGCCCGTGTTTTGTATTAATTAAAATGTTTCAGTTTTACAGGTTAGTTTTATATTCATATCTGTGATACTAATAGTATTTTTACTGTCCATTGTCGAGATGTTTTACTCTTCCAAATGTTTTCATTTTTTATTGTATAAATTGTTTTAGGCACGACATGGCTGAGATATTGCCGATGTGGCGTTAAATATTTACTCAATCACTCACTCACTTCAGTTTTGAGCAACAATACGAAGTATGAAGACATACGAACCACACCCGTCCCGGTAGGCTGTGAGATAGTCGTCCCAGGATCCAATGAATGTGACTTCCCGCCTTGGGTCTTCTTTCCACACCTGCTGGCTGACCTGACTATAGGACGACACAGCGCAGTCTTTGATGTTCCGCTCGACATACACCACTTTGCAACCACGTTTCCATAACAGCATTGGCATCTGTCTAAAATGGTGAACATAAGTATATAGACACTATCCAATATGTACTGAGGGAAAGAAAGTGGACCTTTTTTTATCTTCAATGCTGGGTTGCGTTCTGGTGTCGAAAGTGAATAAAAGATTTCCTCCGATGAATTAGCCTTCACTTATTTATTTACCTCATTAAACGTTGACAGTAAGAGTGAGTTTAGTTTTACGCCGCACTCAGCAATATTCCAGCTATATGGCGGTGGTTTGTAAATAATCGAGTCTGGACCAGACAATCCGCTGATCAAAAGCATGAGCATCGATCTGCGAAATGGGGAACCGATGACATGTGTCAACCAAGTCTGCAAGCCTGACCACCCCATCCCGTTACGACAAGCATGGGTTACTGAAGGCCAATTCTAACCCGGACCTTCGCAGGTCTTGCCAGTAAGAACAGATATCCAGGACCCATGTGTCAACCCTTAGGAACGCGTATAGGTCTCGATACAAACATTACCAACGATATACGCTATCGAACTCAATCAAGTCAATCAAGTCAAAGTACTTGTGATATTATGTAATGCTCTCTTCCGGACGTGCTTCAGGCCGAATTCGACACGCCGAAGAACCGGGTTCGATTCCCCACATGCGTGCAATTTGTGAAGCCCATTTCTGGTGTCCACCGCCGTGACATTGCTTGAATATTGTTAAAACTGCACAAAATTGAACACATATGCTCACTCAGGCCGAGTACACAGTCTTAATGCTTGAATACATACTTGAGTAGAATGTTATCCAAGACGTAATGTAGAATGTATCTGCAATATCTACTGAACCAAAATACATGCAAGTTAGAATCATGGATATTTAGGGGATGTGTTCAGATTGTATGGTCTATCTTCACCTTTGCGAGAGTATGAACAAACATAGTTATGATCTCTGACTTGTAAGGATGTTGGCAGGTTGTGGTTTTGGTCTTTTCTTACAGGGTACAATTCAGACAAACGCATACACTACCTTGGACGCAGGTGGGTGTGAAATATCCTTGGTGATGCCAGTTCATCCAGTTCTTCCTCCGTCCTGTATTCCAGCCAGGTAGAATTCTGCCAGTGTTTGGCGTACTCGGCCTTCCCTGCCACAATCATGTTGAGGATCTCCCAAGTCCAGTGCGTACCTTGAGGGGCAGCAATAGCAGAGATGACATGCACATCGATATCTAAAAACGTTCACATTCTCAGTGTTCCTCTTGCATGGCATACTAGAAATGAGGTGAAATGGGTGTTATCGGCGGACTCAAGATTCTTGCACTTCTTCCACCCTGTGCGTCACAGTTTGTTCCTTTTCCCGATCAACACCGTCTGAAATCCCATTGAGAAACTATGTGCAATTTTTAACAAAGCATACCTCACTCTGACACTAGTCCTTCCTGTATCCCCTTAAGTCGATCTCCTCGCAATGTTACAAAATGTACCAAAAGTTCAAGTCTTGTATGACGTCATGGGAATAAAACACCGACTTACACTTGCCGGGCCCAGCAAACGGCACACATTTACTGTTTTCGGTGTTCTTTTTTGTTTCTATGTTGTATTATAATTTCATGCATTCATCCAGTCTTTCAGATAGAGATATGTTAATATCAATAGTGGTAATCCTGTTGTGATCTCACCAGCCTTTGGATATGTACACAGAAAGATGTCATCGTCTCTCACGGAACGAGATTTCATTGTCTTCAAGTTGTCTGTCAGAAGATCTGCCTCAACAACATCATCTACCATAACAAGCTTAACATTCCAGCCGGCCGCCATGCCTCGTTCTGCTGGGGTCGACATCTTGACAATTAACTGTAAATCAAACTACTGAAAGTATCAGTATCACCTAACTTTATATTTTAGTATTGCAGACTTATTACACTTGACCTTTTGCGAGATAAACACGAATGTGTGCATAGGTACGAGTTATTATACTAGTGAATTGATTAATTAATGCAACCCAGCCATATTTTGTATTAATATAATGGCATTGGGTAATCTCAGGAGGGAATGTGGACAATACACCGTTAGTTGATATTAGAATCGTTTCTGGTCCTTCATGGATCTCAAACCCGAAGTCCATACACATACACTGTGTGTTGCACAAGAAATATATACTGAGTCAAAAAAGAAACTTCACAAAATGTAATTTGAAAAATAATGAATATTTTGTCTCTGATGATACATCTATGTATCCGAAATGGGATCCCTATCTATCGACTCTAGAAAAACGTTAGCAAAACCCACTCAAACCCATCCATTTGTCGTGCAAATGACGTTAGTGTCAAATCAGGTTTTGCACATGCGGTCGATCACGTGATCTTCGCATCGAAGTTTTCTTCATATGCACGTGTTTGCATTGGCCTCAAGAATTGAATAAAAACACTTTTAAACCACAGTTCTAACTGTACTTGAAATGCCAGGGTTGACAAATGTGCAACGTTAACGTGCCGTTGGCATGTTGCAAGCGGGAGGATCAGTTATTGACGTCGCAAGAGCAATGGGATGCAGCCGTCGTACTGTGTGTGTGACTACAACAAACTGGCCCCACTTCTGATCGCCCAAGGTCGGGTCGTCCACGTGCGCCGTCTCGAGCAGAAGACCGTCATTAACGTTTAGGGATGCCCAGGGTGGTCTCATTCGCTATTGATGACCCCCGTGTCCCCTGACTCCTGTCTCGTTATGTGACTCTTTATGCATTTGTGAATTTGTGAATTATTAATTTTGACCCCATGGCGCGTCCTATAATGAATTGCTGCAAATGCAAGACCATCATAACAGTGGATTTCAGCCAAGTTATTGGTAAATGATTTCTGTTTGTAAATTATCATAAATCTCACATACATCTCTGTTTGTATTTTTTGTTCAAGTGAAGTAGGTGATAACATTTTCTCCGGAAGGTTAAACGTCATTTGTTATACAGTTAAGCATTTCTAAAACACCTGACTAATTGTCCTGGCCTTATGACAGTTTATCTGCTTCATGTCTTCGTACTGACAATGGCATATATCACATCCTTTCTGCATTGCTGAAACGTTTCCCAATTTCTGAATATGGTGAAATATCGAACCATAAGGAACTGAAACATACAGAACATAATTAAAGCCCTTGCGCTGGCATGTAGAGTGACAGCAAATGTGCATAGTGGAGATAGGGACCATCGTCTCATGATTGGTTGAGAACAGAATAGACGTGACTTGTTCTGCGTTATTCTGTAGAAGAATAGCATATTGTTTGTTTAATGTGGTTTTTTTCATACTGTTGTGTTGATGATTAAATAGGTATGTGACGTAATTATTCGTTCAGGTGTTTATATCACTCATCGTGATTCTGTGTTTCTTGGAAGATTTCCAACCATAAAACAATGGATTAAACCGGTTTGTACACGGTTTACGTTTATAGTTTCGTGCCTCTATTCCCCATTACAATTTGAAGTCAGGTTTATCAGGTAGAATGTTCAAACCATTAACCTATACTGAATAAAGAAGAAACTTGCTATGTGTTTTTGTACGTCCTAAACATACCCAGATAGAGCAAATGTGTTGCTATTGGATAGATCTGGTTGGGCGTACACTGAAACAAGACTAGGCATTACGTCGCGCCTGGTGCCCCTTTCAGAGTCAACAGTATCGCCACTCGGTAATTTTTCGGTTACAGCCGGGGAAAGCCACATTTAAGAAAAACAGAGTTGAAATTGGTGTGGTTTAACCGGCAATGGACATGGTTGGGTGATCGTTTGAATGTGGCTCTCCCGGAAATGCGCTATTGGCTTATCCATGTTACCGTAAATAATGTGAAATATTCATTATGAAAAATTATGAGAAATCCTGTTGAATTGTTCGAGGAGAAATGACCAGATCACGCAAACTAGCTGCCTCACGTAGGTACCCAAACCCCTTTTACGAATTAATTATGGTTATACAACTAATTATTTCTTTGAAGCATTCTTACTTATGGGAGGGTCAATTCAATGTATTATCCTTGTCGTATAACTGTTTGAGATAAGAGTTTTGGTTGCCTCAGTTATTACGTTTACATTCATGCTAAAAACTCAACAACAAAAAATAAAATGAAAACAAAGTTAGACTTAAGAATGACCATTTATTGCACAAATATATCAACAGTCACATATGTGACGGCAAATTCTTTCCATTTCATAGCTGTTTTTAAGAAACATTATTGTCCAAACTTCTCTGCTGACACGATATACCAATCGTACCAACCATTAGCATGTATCATTTTATCTCAGAACATATGTTATCAACTATAAATTTCAACGAGAATAAAGAAGCCGCCTATCATATGTTAACTAAACAAAGAAAGGACAAGTCACTAAAACAATTTTAATCCGTTCTGATCAATGGGTGGCTCTTATTTGAAGAAAACGGTATTGATAACCATACTCGCGGCGGTTCGCGGCACCGAGGTTTGTACTTGAAATGTGTCTTTAGCGGCAATTGTTTTTTTCAAATGTGGCTTTCCCGGGCGGACACCATTTTTTTACAGGGACCAGCCAGGGAGCCAACAGCAATGCAACCCTGTCTCACTGACTGCCTAACCCCTTAACACAGCATTAGCATTGGCAACCTGCACCACTGCTGTAATATGTGCCCAGCTCTTGAACAATCCTGGGTTGACGGCTCAAGGCGCGAAGGCATTCTACACGCGTTCGATGGGATTGAAATCAGATGATCTTGATGGCCACAAAGTGATATGCAGACCAAGAAATGTAAGGGAATTTTGTGTAAAAAAAACCCAAGCAGTCCATAGAAGAAGTCATGTATAACTCTACGCCGAAGATATTATTAAATACATTGGGCGGAGATGTGTGTGGAATATTCTTGGTGATGCCAATGCCTCCAGATCTTCCTGAGTCCTGTATTCCAGCCAGGCTGAGTTCTGCCAGTGTTTGGCGTACTCAGCCTTGCCTGCCACGACCATGTTGAGGATCTCCCGAGTCAAATGTGTACCTTGTTGTAGAAAATATTACAATACTGTTGCATTTAGATGTTCTTTGTCACTGAAAGTCCTCCTGAATTAGACCAAACAACTTGATTTAGCTGACCGGCTTAAGACCATTCTTTTCAGTCACATAAACCGTCATTCCGCCACATATATTCAACAACGGTGTTACCTGACTTAGGGTATGTGCACAAAAGTATGTCATCTTCCCGGAGGCGACAAGACTTCAATTTTCTTAAGTGATCTGCAATTAAAGCCATTTCAACAATACCATCTATATCTGTAAGGCCGTATGTAAACCCGCCCGCCATTTCTACCTCAGCTGGGGTCGACATTTTGGGAAAGTGTGACGAAATGATCGGGGAGAAACAATCCGCAAATATATATTATCAACACTATAGGATGAACATTCAGATAGATAAATAAGGAACAGTAAATCCTAAATGAACGAAATTTCCAAAACTATTCCATATAAATATACTCTGCGCAAACGTGAGTGCACTGTGCAATGTCAACTACGTAACAAAGATATGTCTATCAGTCAGTCGTGATGGTTGAACACATCAAAGGAATTGTTTGAAAGAATTCAAGGTTAACTGTGGCAAGACATAGAAAGTGGATCCTAACACGGTCTGAATGTTGGAAAGGATGACGGCGAATAAACTTCATTCTGATGATAGATAATGCTTGCCACAAACTGTCACAATAGTCAAGCTGCATCTTCCAAAACAACCAAGAAAACAGAAAGCAGAGAATGCACGTGAAGCAGATTCCCTCGTAGTCAATGTAATAAACTGTGAGGTGGTTCCTCCTTAAATATCCACTAAGAAACCGTGAACTTTATGTTATACATCTATCTGTGCAGTGAGTTTAATCCCTTTCAAGCATGCAAGAAACCGGAAAGTGATACACATGAATGCAGTCCAATAACATTATGCTTGATAACACAGAAAAGTTATTGTGCGTCAGTGTTTGTTTTTTCTTGCACATTTGATTTTTCCTGTATTAGGACTGCTCAATGCGAAAAAATGCGTGTAAGATTCGCCTACAGGTCTCCAAAGAGCAGTTGTACTTACCCCTAGAACAGCTAGATAGGGGATCGTCCTATGCAGTTGGTGCGGTTCTGTCTAGTTTAACTGTGTCATCGTCCGATGTCGCAATCCTGGCCAGTGTGTCATGATATGTCAGATATGTCGGTCGTAAGATTACATGTGCAAACACATCCTCACGTGACCTGCCTGTGCACCAGGGCACACCACATAACTGATGTGACATGATTTTCGACAGCCTTGAGTTATTCGTACTTCCATTTTGTGGAAGCCGCGGAGACTGAGCGGGTTTGGCGGCTGACTTTGTGTGCTGGCGATTAGGTGCCTGACTCTGAGGGTGTGGGTTCGAATCCCGGATGGGACTCATCTCAACAATTGTACTAGAATCTGTACTTCACTAAGAAAGTGTTATCCCAGATTTAACATATGTTACACTTGACAAATTTCTAAATGGGATTGTGTATTCATAGTCTTACCTGTGGTTACATAGACGGATTTAATGTATCTCTAAATATCTTAACCCATGAATTTCAACACTAGAGCCAGTTAAGTTAAGAAATGTTAACATTCACATAAAAACATACGGCTTTCAACATATCAAGGCATCATTTGACCATTAAACTGTTAAGGGAGCGGTGGGGTAGCCTACTGGTTAAAGCATTGGCTCGTCACGCCGAAGACCCGGGTTCGAATCCCCACATGGGTACAATGAGTGAAGCCCATTTGTGGTCTCCCCGCCGTGATATTGCTGGAATATTGCTAAAAGCGGCGTAAACCAAACTCAGTCAGTCAGTTAAACTGTTAAGGATTTTTTTTTATAATGGTAATCTTCCTTTTATTATCGAATTTCTAAATAGATAGAATTGATAGACACATTTTGATTCATATTTCTTGTAAATACCTGTACTTTTATGACGAATGAGGCCTATTTGTATGGATATAACAATTCTTTATTCTATATAGGCGACGTTTCGACATAGTTTTTAATGTCATCGTCAAGCAAGTGGTAAATGGGTATAATTTGGGTGATATATATACATGAGATGTTTTTACAATAGATGAGGGATGAGGCGAAATTGAGTTGTTTAATACAATAGAAGAGGCTGATAACACAGGATTAAGTAGGTTGATAGGAAGCCAGAACATGTACATGGATGTATATAGGTTGTTTACACAAGTGATGAAGGAACTGTCCTATGCATGGTTATTATTTGTGAATCTAGGTTTCATTAAAGCACTTTGGAAAATTCCCATCGGTTCTTTAGTCCATAAGGACTGACTGTGTCAAAGAGTTAGTACATAGCACTCTGTTTTGCACTCTTGTTATTGTTCATGAATTGGTGCCATTGTATAAACCGACAAAACTTTAAAACTAAAACAACTTCCTGTACATGGCAGTAGTTCAACATTCCCGCGGCAGTCAGTGCGTCCCTCGTATGCACATTTCACTCAACAGATATATCAATGTTCCTAACTTGCAGACAAGAATATTAGGGCTTTCGGTTTCTGCTTTATTTTAGTCCTGCAAGACTTTAATTTTGTGTGAATACCTGCCTCATCACTATTTTGCAGCGATACAGTCACTTACATTTACCTTTATTGTGCTTTGTACGCATAATGGAAAATTGATACTGAGTATTTGCAACGAATGCTTGGTTTGGCAACTTCTGTTGATACACACTATAAAATAATATTGTTCTTAGGCCTCTAGTACGTGGGCTCAGGTTGTTATGATAGTTGCTATTGACCGCGCCACATGGTTCATTGAACGGTACGCTGTTGTATAAAAACGTATTGCATTTAAGAAACACTAGTTAAAATTTAACTATTCAGAGTATCGAGCTTTGACGACGATGTAAATAATCATGAAACAAAACTTTATAGTAAGTGAGTGAGTTAAAATTTATAGTCGCAGCGGCAGTATTTCAGCCATATCTTCTCTTAAGATAGTTATATAAAAACTGTCGACGAAGGACAGTAAACCCAACGTGTGGTCCTGTGCACAGAGCTCAGGTCGCAAATCAGTTGAAGTTAAGCAAGGTCGAGCTCGGACAGTCTTTGGATGGGTGAACGTGTTTGGCAGCTTGACTCTTGAGAGTTTCTAGGACTTCAGTACTGCCCAACAACAAATCACATGTGATACATGTGGTCTCAACTTAGGCAAGTGAGTTTGTTCAAAACTGCCTCTCTTCACCAAGCAGAAAAGGGGTACACGGTTGGAAAAAGTCATGTGACTTTAACCTTCTAAGCAGCTTGGGTTATCCATGTTAACAGGCAGCTTGGAATATCCGGGTAATAAGAATCAGATTCTGATTAATCGCCGCAAGGAATCAGTTGGTGTTTGGAGACTGTACGCTATAGAAGATGATTTATTAGTAGGGGTAGCATATCACAGTAATAAGAAATAGAACTAGCATACATATCTAACTTATGATTTCAAATTAGGGCATGATAATATAGAAAGGGGCTGAGGATTGCCAACAACTGAAGGTAGATCAACACTCTAGGGGCACAAATATTCATAGAACTATCACGGTACAAAAGGATTGTGGTATACGCATGGGTCTGAATCATATATGACTTCAGTTATTAGCAATTGTCCAAAGTGCCATTGCGAGTATAGTACAATTAAACGTTCGCTCATCACTTCAAATTATTGGGTTCGATTCCTCCCATGGATGAAATGCGTGAAGCCCATAAGACAAACAGATGCAAAATGAAATGAATCACCCAAAAGGCACAGGAACATATGACAGAAGTTCGAGTATACCATTCCATTCTGTGGTAGTCATGACGTAATCGATTTATACAGCTCAATGTACCTGTTACATTTCCAACCATCATGCAAACATAACGACTTGAAACCAGCACAAACACAAACACACACTCACAGGGAGAGAGGGATATATATATATATATATATATACTGAGTCAAAAATGAAACTTCACAAAATGTAATTTGAAAAATAATGAATAATTTGTCTCTGATGATACATCTATGTATCCGACATGGGATCCCTATCTTTCGACTCTAGAAAAACGTTAGCAAGACCCACTCAAACCCATCCATTCGTCGTGCAAATGACGTTAGTGCCAAATCAGGTTTTGCACATGCAGTCGATCACGTGATCTTCGCACCGAAGTTTTCTTCATATGCACGTGTTTGCATTGGCCTCAAGAATTGAAAAAAACACTTTTAAACCACAGTTCTAACGGTACTTGAAATGCCAGGATTGACAAAAGTGCAACGTGAACGTGCCGTTGGCATGTTGCAAGCAGGAAGATCGGTTGTTGACGTCGCAAGGGCAATGGGATGCAGCCGTCGTAGTGTGTATGACTTGCGAGGTCGTCTACAACAAACTGGCACCACATCTGATCGCCCAAGGTCGGGTCGTCCACGTGTGGCGTCACGAGCAGAAGACCGTCAAATCGTCCTACGTCACCTACGTGACATATTTCTGCCAGCTACACGAACCAGGGCTGAGATGTTTAGAGGTCGACTGTCCGCGCAGACCATTCGAAATCGGTTGCCGGCTCCCAATCTCCATTCTCGACGTCCATATCGTGGGCCAATATTGACGCCGTTTCATCAACGTCAACGTCTGCTGTGGGCCCAACGTCACCTCCGATGGACCCAGAGAGAGACTGGAATCGAGTCGTCTTTAGCGATGAATCCAGGTTTACCCACAGATTCACGGACGGCAGGCATAGAGTCTGGAGACGACGTCGTGAACGGTATGCCCAATGTTGTGTACAGTGAGTCGACAGATTCGGGGGCGGAAGTTGCATGGTGTGGGTTGCTTTCTGTGGGAACAACCGTTCCCGACTTCTGGTCATCCGTGGAAACCTCACAGCTGCTGCTTACCGTGACCAGGTGCTCACCCCTGAACTCGTTCCTTTCATGGCCCAGGTCTACAGTTCCAGCATGATAATGCTCGGCCACATACCGCGATGTTGACACGAAATTTCCTTCAAAACGCTAGAATCAACGTCATGGACTGGCCATCGAGGTCCCCTGACCTTAATCCAATAGAGTACGTTTGGGATGCACTTGGGAGAAGGCTTCGTGGTCTTAGGAACCAACCTCAGAATTTACAGGAACTTGGCGCTGCCTTGCCAGAGCAATGGCGCAGAATCCCCAACCACGTGTTCACAAGCATCAGGCAATCGATGAGGAGACGGTGTTTGGCAGTGGTGAATGCGCGGGGCGGCCATACACGATATTGAACTGCGAAATTTCGCATTTTTATTCTTGTGACTTGACATTCTGTATACCCATGTTTTGGAACGGCGGTGTAGCCTAATGGAACTGAGTATGGCACTGTCAGTGTATCGAGTACATCACACAGATCTCAGCAAGGAAATAATAACAATTTCACCATCTTACCATCTCTTGTTCTTTTATAGTGCCCTGAAGAAAGATTGTGAAGTTCCTTTTTTATCTCAGTATATATATATAGAGAGAGAGAGACAGAGAGAGAACGGAATGTTGTAGCAGCAAGCCAGCAAGGTTTTGTACATACACAACAGTAAGTGTTGTTCTGTTGTGCCGCAGACGCATGTACTAGTTGACATTTATTATGTGTTTGCAGACAAGTGTATCTGGGTAAATATCGAACATACTATGAGTGAAACACACAAAAATACAAAGTCAATATCAGCTTTATTCATGTTATGTTTGATCATCCAAGCAAAACATCGATCAAATAAACTTTGGCTCTTTTTGCAACGACTAGAGTTTCAAAAGTCAAACATTAAACAAAACTATGCCATCATCCCAGGTGTTCAAAATAAAGTGACAAAATATTGAATGAGTGCTTAACCTTCCTTCTTACTGAAGTGGAATAGTGGCGTTTCTGGGGTATTGACAGTGGAGGATGTATAACATATTACCACCTGCTGCTTCACCATTTCCAACATTCATTTCAATATGGGAACGGTTTATTTATCTTTGCTTCATATATTTTTTCGAACTTCTCACTTTGCGCAACTGTAAAATAGTTCTTCCAGTCACCGGTTTTTCCTGGAAAACGAAAAAAACGCATTAAAAGTACACGCAATTATTTCTTGAAAAAAACCCTGATATTCATATTTGCTTTTTGATTATTACATAAGCCAGGCTTCAGTTCCGCTACGCTACGAACAATCCAGGTCTGTTTATAACTTAATTGTCCTCGTTCATCCTTTCCTGGGCGTGCCCAACAAACAGACAAGAACGTACATTGAAACACTCTTCCAAAAGCAATTGCGCATATTTCGAATATATGTTTAACTATTTCAACGTGGCAGGTAAGAAATACATAATACCATTTAGGACATGGTCCAACGTAATGGCTTCCGCCGCAAAATCATTCCAGAAACATACTGTTTAGCCACATTATGCATGGTGCATTACAACTTGTACAAAGGATGAGAAAAAATTACAGAATGGTATGCCAGTGTAGAAATGTCTTCAGAATTATGTACATTTGGGCGTTTCATATTTGAAGGAGAACGATATTTAAATTTTGTAATGATACAAAAGTATAGAAAATTATTAGCAGTTTAAGGTGTGGAGTTTTACAATTAGAAATAGAAACCGGGAGGGCTAAGGGTATTACTAGGTAGGAACGATATTGTCGACTTTGTGAAAACGGTCAAATGGAAGGTGAAATGAACTTTATGTACATATCTTAATAATATTAGGCAGAAATACATACCGGAAACATTTCTAAAACTGCCAGTAAGACGTATCTCTATATCACTAATGACCTCCAATAATGATGAATGATTACGAATGTAGCCTACTAAATAGATCATGCAACTGTTTTAAGTAAATCTTTATTATGTTCATAACGCTTCGTGTGATAAATTGCCTATGCAAATAGTACTGTACAACCTTTGTTCTGGGCCGGTGCCCTTAAAGCAAATAAAGTATTGACTGGTTGCATGGTGCAATCCCAACATGATTGTTTTACAAGGTGTTCACTGGCTCCTTCTTTTAAAAGTGAATAGGGGGTGAAAAGTGTAAGTTGATCCGTTGAGTAAGTGTAATTTTATCGTTTTGCCATAAACGCCTCACACTGTTCCAATCACGTCTCCATTACAAAGTTCAATTATTAATATAAATCAATAACACTGTGCAGTTAATATGTTTAGCCTCCTCAAAGGTACTCGTGAAAATCCGTGTTAGAATTGATGTTCAGTAACACATGCTTGTCGTACGAGGAGACTAACGGGATCGGGTGACACATGTCATCGTAGATCGACGCTCATGTTGTTGATCACTGGATTGTTTGATCCAGACTCGATTATTTACTGGCCGACGCCATATAGCTGTGATTTTGCGACGTAAAACTACACTCACTCACTCACTCGCTCCTCAAAAGTTTTCTCAATTTCCATTAGTATTTCTACTGCATGCATGAGTTGCTCGGTGCCTCCTAATAGTTCGAATTTGAACACTCACAATGATCCAATGTGTGAAGCACATTTAAATAGTTACTTGCTGTGATATTGTTGTAAGCAGAGTTAACCTTACTCATACAGTCTAGGGACGGTGGGGTAGCCTAGTGGTTAAAGCGTTGGCTAGTCACGCCGACGACCCGGTTCGAATCCCCACTTGGGTACAATGTGTGAAGCCCATTTCTGGTGTCCCCCGCCGTGACGATGCTGGAATATTGCTAAAAGCGGCGTTAAACCAAACTCAGTCAGTCATATAGTCTAGTTTCAAGGAGTGAAGTGGCTCGCATTTTGTCTACAACTGAGTACTCACCTTTTCTGAAGTATCCACTTTTTCCCTGTTGCCACTGGAAGTGGTAGGTCTGGTCCTTGATCTTCTCGTTGGCGTGTTTCAGGTTGATGAAGGAACATGCCTCTGCTATTTCCACGTACGTTTTCTCCGGCAAAGGGCGGTCGAGATATTCAGCCATTCTTCTTACCTCGTTCACACAATTCTTTTCAAATAATATAGATAGTGACATTTAGATGGACATTCCCATATCGCTACATTTTGAGCAGAGAACTTTACGAGATAGTATTAGCAAAGGATTTGTATCATGGTGTCATTGTTGATATAATTTTATGCTCACTGACAGTGGTATCACATACATTGAGAACATTAATGGGGAACCATTATTCTTATATCTAATCGTCTTGAAACATAATTATAAGGGATTCCACGCTTTCAGGTAGTGAAGATGTCTGTTCGTAGCTCTACACAGTAGACAAATCTTATCATGCAAAATATGACAACTATTCTAACAACTCTATTAGCGCTGGTTCACATTCATTATATATTTTCATATTTAAGGGATGACTTACTCACATATTCATTGACCAGTTTCTATATTGAATAGAGTCACAATACGTCATAACTGCTAAGTATCTTTTTAGTACTGTTAAGTTCCATTAATGTTGCATTATTAAAAGAAATATAATTATTAGATACATTTTGATGAATACTTGCATTATATGTTGTTCACTGTTCTCGAGGGGAAGATGGGCTGATGCACTCTTGATGTTTCTTTATGTTCCGGGAACATAGACAAACATCGAGAGAACATCAATCCATGGGCCCCGAGGGACCAGTGAACATCTTACCGAACACCTCAATGGTAATTTTGAACTGTTTGAAGCATGGGTATCGGATCATGGCATGGAGTTAAAGACAACCAGAAAAAACAAATTTAGAGTTTTCTCCCTTCCATCGATTTGCATTCGCAAGACATCTGTAATTTCCGAACATCATACGTCATTCAATATGGTACTCGAGATAAAGAATTACTACTACGAGGTACCAAATGAGTTCGGCATTCCCAGCGGGGTACATGGAAAATGTTACTCGCTGGGTACAGAGCGCTCAGCCAATCAGAAAACTGAATTTCGGCGATGTTTTTTTTCCACAATCGCCAGCGGCTGAAGGGATGGTGTACATCCAGCCAGGATCGATGCAGGTAGCAAAGGCACTGTAAGTCCCTATGGTCCCTAGTATGGTGATCAACCATCATCTGTTGGCGATCTACAGCCTGGTTTTATATTGTGTTGTTCCCTACAGTTAAAATGTTTAAGATTTAATTACTGGATTTACGGTTCTATCTGCAGAATCTAGTTACTTTACTGTCCTTCGTTGACAGGTTTTTGTAATTTAATTCCGTTTATTATCAATTGATAACTTTTTAAGTCACGATATGACTGAAATATTGCCGATGTGACTATAAATCTTAACTCACTGACTCACTCACTCAACCACTCAAAATACGCCACATTTTTGTCCCCCGCCACAACGCGGAACGGGAGACTATGTATTCGTACGTCCGTACGGACGTCCCGATTCTTGTAAACGCGATATCTCATGAACTGTAGTACCCAAAGTCTTCAAATTTGGTGACAGCCTACATTGGGTGATTACGCAGACACCAGTCGATTGCGGTGACCTTAACCTTATTTTTAAAGTCACCAAAACACTTTGACCACTTTTGAAACTCTTGTTAACGTGATATTTCATGCACTGTTGTACCCAATGTCTCTGAGTTTGGTGACAGCCTAAGTAGGGGGATTACACAGACACCTGTCAATTTAGGCATCTTGTATGTGACCAAAAAATAAAAAGTGGTAAATATGTTATAAATATTTCATTCTTCTGTAACATTGCCATATTAGTGGCAAACACTTGTTATCTTTTGAAATGACAGTACTAATTTGTTGAATGTTTCTTCTTACCCCGTCACTCACCTGTTTCATGTCTTCATACTGGACCTGACATATACAGTATTGTTCGGCCGTTTTCCACCAATCACGAATGTAATTAAATATCGATCCATGCGGAACTAAAACAAAGCAGTACATACTAGAAATGAACAGTTGCTAGTGAAAGAAGTTACTCGACACTTTGTAAAATTACTACCAATTACACACACGATTTAGTAATGCAGAGTCGTGGCCATTCTTTCTTTGGCGAAACAGTCCATCTCAAAGGCACTTTCACTCAATTTCGAACCACACTTCTCTAACGAATTTGTATGAATATCTCTCAATAATGCTAACTATCAGCCTTCATGGAAGCTACCATATAAATTACTGAAACCAATTATGTATCCTGATTACAGTATAATATTAAAATGTTCGAATGGATTAAAGTAACGTTGCATTAAATCGACTCTCGTGCCCTCTACTGGCAAAACATTATTTCAAACAAAACCCCGCAGAGTTATATGTGAGCGCTCTTTACGAATATCCTATAACTCCTTTGGATACAGAACACAGTCCTATTGAAAATTGCGCTAATAACTGGCGCAAAAACACTTGTGATTGAAACCAGTTCAGCAAACACCGACAACACCACGTGCGACAGTTGTCGATGTACGGAGCAATTGTTTACATTCCATATGACAAGTGTTCTTGGTTTGGAAGCTGTTCGCCTCGACGATTCCCTAATCGATTTCAGGCAAGTCATAAGGGATAAGTCTTTTAATGCACCAATAGGAAGCTAAAGTGTGTGCATATGTCCCAATATATGTGTGAAAGTGTGCCTTTAAGTATGACGGTGACATGTTTTCTGTTTAATTTACTAATTATCTAACATGTGCGTCATATTTCGTCGTCTTATCAAACATGGTAAAGGCATCCCTACTGTAACCATCCAGATAACAGGATAGGTAGTCGTCCCATGACCCTGTAAAGCAGACCGTGTCTTTGGCGTCGTCCTTCCAGACCTGGCTGCTGTCTTGACAAAAGCAGGACACAGCACAGTCCTTGGGGTTCCTCAGGACGAACACAATCTTACAGCCCAGCTTCCACACCGGGCAGCTGCCTGTGTGAATGTATTGTATGTAAACACGGATACACCATTTCTTCATTCCTGCAATTTATCTGACGTATGTGGAAAGAAAGCAAATCAGGTAACAAAATTGTGAGTGAGTGAATGAGTATTTTACGCAGATTTTTAACATATTCCAGCAATATCACGGAGGGGGACACAAGATATGGGCTTCACGCATTGTACGCATGTAGGGAGTCGAACCAGGGTCTTCGGCGTGACGAGCAAATGCTTTAAACACTTGCCTACCCCACCGCCCCAACAAAATTATGAAAGGGTAATAAAGTGACGAGACGGCGAGGGATTACCGCTGTCCAGTTATATAGTTACCAATGATTGCATATACATTATTTTGTAAATTCGTCATGAATACCATTCTTACCGTGGCAGTAAATGAGTGTGGAGGACCCGTGGTGATGCCAGTGTCTCCAGTTCTTCCTCCGTCCTGTATTCCAGCCAGGCTGAGTTCTGCCAGTGTTTGGTGTACTCAGCCTTGCCTGCCACGATCATGTTGAGGATCTCCCACGTCCAGTGAGTACCTTTTGTTTTTATAGTATAATCATAACAGTTCATTACACTGAGTCGAGCATCGAGGTGAGGTTAAGTGGGGTTTAACGCCGTACCTAAGAATATTTCGTTTATATGACGACGTGCATGCATGTGTATGTTTGGCTGCTTGTATTAGCCCAGACTTAAGAGCTGATTTTATAGTGCTAGCTGACTTGGATACCATGCCGCAGTTTAGCATGAATACCCCACTCAGACACATTATAATAGGGGTGTTCAATACCTGAAGGAGAGGTTTAACAAAGTATTTCTTGGACACAAATATTTCCCAGTGATGTTACCTGACTTAGGGTATGTACACAGTAAGATATCCTCTTGCCGAATGGGTCGCTGTTTCATAGTTCTTAACCTCTCTGCAATCAAGGCCATGTGAAGAACTCCATCCACATCTATCAAGTCGTAAGAAAATTGTCCCGCCTTTCCTATTTCCGCTGGGGTTGACATCTTGGCAAAGTGCGACCAAAGTTTCAAGGATGATATATCTGCGAAGATGAGTCATCGACACTGTAGACTGAACCCGAATCCGGGCAGGGAAAGTTACAAAAAATGTTTACTGATGAATAGTTCGACTAGAAGTGTATAATATGAATGTGCCTATGGATTCCTAGTAAATACTGATTATGTATGGACAAGTGAGTAAGAGAGTGAGTTAAGAATTTAAGTCAAATCGGCAACAATTCAGTCATAAGGTGACTAAATCAAGTTAGTTATTCATAACGGTCAACCAAGGGCAGTATAACAACCACGTAGATTATCAGAGATATGAATTAAACTAGTAATTAAATCTATAACATTTGAACTATAGATGACATGACAACATAAGAACATGCTATAGACTGCAGGTAGATCACCATAATAGGGATCACGGGGACGTACAGTACATTTGCTACCTGCATGGACCCCAGAAGGATTTACACCATCCCCTGAGGAGTTAGCAAGTGCAGATGAATCTATCCCTAAATTATAATACCATATGTATTACGATTAAAATCTGGTAGATATAAGAATTTACACATAATGCTGACTTTTAAAACCCTTCCCCTACCTTAACTGCAAGCCGCTGTGACTGCGGAGCTGAATGTTACAACTGTGTTGCTTTCAATGAAAATTATGCATGACTCACACTTACATGACTTTCAATGAACAGTATCTTAATGAGTTGGCATCAGTGGACGGTGTGAGTGACACGTGCTGAAATGTGTACCCTGTGACCTGAAGTTACCTTGTGTAATATCTCTAATCGATCTGGCACGAGATGGCAAAAACGATCTTGGTTTTGTGTATATATACTGGAGCTGACTTAAGCATAGCAATTCATACAGATCTTTTGTCATTATTCTATTCCATTATTATATCGACTTTTGTTTTTTGTAACACAGTATACCGAAAAAAATATCAAACTGGATGCAAAGTATAAACATCGTCCCTAGCAGTTATCATTCACAGATGTGCGGCGTATCTTCAACACGTCTCTGGGTACCAGTGTATATCTTTTGCCCCTAAAATGAACTGAGGTTACTAAAAGGTGTCAAGCTGAATGCGTTGTATTTGCATCAATGTAGTACATGCATGCAATACATATATTTCCAACCATATCTGCAAATGTTACATATATACACGTGTGAGAAAGCCTTTCTATCTTCTAAAACTGGAATCGATTGTGCGATCACGAGCACTGTCAATGGTGACGGTATCACATGTGAGCGCTTCCTGTCCTACCAGTGGAACTCGTCACTAACACATGCAAAGGCAAGTCACCTGAAGAAAGACAAGAACATATGGTACAAGTCGGGGTGAGATAATTTTGTCACTTGTGCGAAAGTTTTCGCTGTGTCGCCAACGTGCCAGCCATAAGCTTAATGAAACATTCATTGAATGTTGTATCCCTGTTCAAACACTGTTTGAGCAAGACCCGTTAATGTTCTTTGACATCATTGTACAAAATACATGTGAGTACCTCAAAGATGGTGAATCCGGGGATGTTGATGCACACAACATCACGGACATCATTACGCCTTTGTAATAGTTTGTATAAAGAGAATGTTAGTCAAACTCTGTTGTTTTGTCATCATTGTTAATGTGTGGATTATCCTTAGTAAATGGGGCGGTGGGGTAGCCTAGTAATTATTACATTCTCTCGCCACGCTGTACACCCAGGTTCGATTCGGCAGATACGTACAATGTGTAAAGCCCATCTCTGGAGTCCCCCGTCGTGATATTGCTGGAATATTGCCATAAACGGTGTAAAACTAAACTCACTCACTCACACCTAGGTAAACGCGATTCTGCTCATCTTTAACGCACGTGAACCGATATTTGTACTGAGCGTTGACCATGAAGGTGAAACAGAGCTAAACACAACCGAGGATGGAATCCTTCTTTGTGCATCTTTGTTACATATCTATTCATATTATTGTGTACATATGAAGAGCATGCAGATTATGTGCAAGCATATATTACTGTGTGACATTATTCAATACAACCTAATATTTTCTGGTTCAATAAGAGAATGTTTTTTGTCGAGTGAGTGAGTGAGTTGGGTTTTACGCCGCACTCAAAAATATTCCAGCTATATGGCGTCGGTCTGTAAATAATCGAGGCTGTACCAGACAATCAAGTGATCAACAGCATGAGCATCGATCTGCGCAATTGGGAGCCGATGAAATGTGTCAACCAAGTCAGCGAGCCTGACCACCCGATCCCGTCAGTCGCCTCTTACGACAAGCATGGGTTACTGAAGATCAATATTCCAACCCGGACCTTCTCGGGTCGATTTTTGTCGAACGTCATGCATCTTTTTACTAAGTCTTACTATCAATGTTTTGGGTTTTTTTCGCTTTTTTTCTGCAATAAGTAGAACGAAAAACTCCATAGTGATGTAAAAGTTTACAGTTAATCAAAAGTTGCAAGGTTTTATTTTCAAACAGCGAGAACACGTATGAGGAATAATGTTGCGGTAACACTCTGATTTTAGTGGGAATCAAGGTGCATCTACATTCTGATACGTCACAAAATCAGAAAAAGTCGAAATATATTATAACGATTGTCTTCTTAACATCTACAGTACTTGCGAATATAGTTGTAAAGGATCTCAGAATGAGTAGTTGGATTCACCCGTCTGTTCTAATTCATTCAAGTAGATATCGCCTTATCAATCTGTCTGCAAGGTAGGTGATAATATGAAGTTCATGATTTTATGCCAATATAACTCCAATTCTATTCTGAAGAATCTGCTTGATTCTCAGTGTCACTTGTTATGTCTGATTGTTTCGTGAGCATGTTTGAAGTTTACAGTGGGGCAGGTTCTCCGATAGGAGGCGTACTTGTAAGCAAGTCCGTCATCCTACTTAGAGACAAACACAAGCACGCAGACGCACTTGTGACCCATGTGTTAAAACAACTCTGTCGAAAATCTTGTATTTTTGCCGCATTATTGATTTCGTTGATTGATTGTAAAATGTACACACATGCATTTCGGAGTATGTGTTATCCATATGTTATTGAAGTGTGATCATCCTTCATTTTGATGATATATGTCAACCTTTTAAAACTTGTAATGTACTATTTAATGTTTGCCAAAGCACGTTTAGGTCCGTTTAGAAAAGATTACTTAAACCGTATTTCACCACTTCTCCGAAACTGTTGCAAGATATATAAATCTGTTATCGCATCCCTCAATTTGCAACAGCATGATCCTGAATTATCCATGGGTCTCCTCGACAATGATTTGTGAATGACCTTGTCACAGAAACGTTCCTGTGAATAACTTCTGGAATGTCGTCCTTGAGGTGATCAGCGAGAGCTTTGCCTAATTACGTGCGGCTGTCGAGCATTCGGATCATTCGCGCATGCCTAAATGTTGTACAATTGTCTGAACATAACTTATGATAGTTCCAAATATAAAGACGATGAAATCTAGTAAATTCTTGAGATGTTTGTACTCGGTTCTTTACTTTGAGCAAATACTTGGTGTTAACATCTATGCGTCAATATCCAGTGCCTGTCTACTTTACCCACATACGACCATAGATTTTTTATTCTGTGTTGGACAGGTTCAGTGACCAGATTCTCATTTCAGCTGATTTGTAGTTGTCATGAATAGCCATTTTGCCCTTCTCATACATTATATCAAAACAATTTAGATACAGTGAAACCTGTCTAAACCGGCACCCCACGGGACCGAAATAACATGCCGGTTTATACAGAGTGCCGAATTAGACACTGACGATAATTTTCCAACCTGGCTGCCATTTACAGTCGTCAATCTCTATAATGCCTTTGATCTTTCGTAATTGTGCAACAATTTAAACCATTTTGGTCCAGCCATTAAGGATTAAGGGACCTTGATTGGACTGTTCATACCCATGCCGGCTTAGAGAGTTTGATTCACCGCAGAATCACTACTACCTGATTGTTTAGCGTGCCAAGAGGATTAAATAGTGTATTAGATTATGGGTCCTTGATTGGACTTATCATACCCATGCCGGTTGTCTATTTCCAAATAAAAAGCTGCAACATGTTAATATGCATCCAAATATGGTTTTCCGTCACACTGACCAGATCTGTCAGCGATCAAAAGTCAAACAGAATCTGTGTACATCTGTTCCGGATTCTCAGACATCTCGACAGGAAACAGCTATACCAACATAATATTTATAACATGTTTCCATTTCATGCCCTTGGACCATGTGTACCAGAATTTGCTAGGATGTTATCTCTGGCTCATAATCCGGTAAACCAGATAATCTGTGCTTCTTGACGAAGTTGAACATCCAGAACCCCCGTTTTATTTATTGCATGTTACGCCCAGGAGAGGTGAAAAGTGAAAGTAGCATTATCATCTGAATTCACATGAGGCAAAGAGTGAGTGAATGCGTTGAGTTAAATGCATTTGAACATTCTTCCAGTGGCATCACGCCGTTTGAGCTTCATTAAGGAGAGCCCGAAGTGAGGCAGGTCACATAGGGTTGCACATTCTTTTACAAGGGCACAACGGTACGTTGATTGCAAACCTTGAAATATAATCTAGGCCAACAGATGTGACCATAGGTTTCTTTAGTGCTGTTTTCCTCCCATACTTCACTAGTTGCAGTTTAATAAAAGTTTATTTCTATTGCTTTTTTTATTAAAACGTGATAAACAAATAATACAGTTTTATGTTTTTATTGCAAATGAAACTGTTTCCGGAAGATGTCAAAGGAGAGGTGACTTCATCCATTCATATTTTGTCGAATCTCTCACTTTTCGCCACAGTGAAGAAGTTCTTCCAGTCACCACTTTCGCCTATAAAACTATCTGTTTATTCTTCTGATGTATGTAATATTCATCTCTAACCAGATAATACATAAGGGACAAAACTACTCTGGTTAACGAACGAACGTAAATCGTAATCGACCGTGATCAAATTGGACTCTTAATCGAAAATAAACGATAGCATAAGCACAGAGTGTTTTTCTCGTATCGACATTGTCAAGGTTGAACATTTTTCTGAACTCTGAAATAGTATATGGGATGATCAGTTTTAAGAAATAATTCATAATTCTCACCGCGTCCTTTAACTCAGAAGAATACTTCCTTAGATATGTTGGACGCCGCTGCAGACGCTTTTTCTCGAGTTCCAAACTTTAGAGCGAAGACTTCAAGTTGGAAACATTTTCAATTGATCTCTTGTACACTCACAACTGAGTCCTGACAATGGACAGTGACATTATTTCAAAAGAAGGAAACAGTAATTTCATAACCTTAAACCATGAGTTACATTAGAACTTTCACAATATATTGCAATATATACTGAGTCAAAAAAGAAACTTCACATTCTTTCTTCAGGGCACTATAAAAGAACAAGAGATGGTAAGATGGTTAAATTGTTATTATTTCTTTGCTGAGATCTGTGTGATGTACTCGATACACTGACAGTGCCATAATCAGTTCCATTAGGCTACACCGCCGTTCCAAATCATGGGTATACAGAATGTCAAGTCACAAGAATAAAAAAGCGAAATTTCTCAGTTCAATATCGTGTATGGCCGCCCCGCGCATTCACCACTGCCAAAAACCGTCTCCTCATCGACTGCCTGATGCTTGTGAACACTTGGTTGGGGATTCTGCGCCATTGCTCTTGTAAGGCAGCGCCAAGTTCCTGCAAATTCTGAGGTTGGTTCCTAAGACCACGAAGCCTTCTCCCAAGTGCATCCCAAACGTGCTCTATTGGATTAAGGTCAGGGGACCTCGATGGCCAGTCCATGACGTTGATTCCAGCATTTTGAAGGAAATTTCGTGTCAACATCGCGTTATGCGGCCGAGCATTATCATGCTGGAACTGTAGACCTGGGCCATGAGCCGCCATGAAAGGAACGAGTTCAGGGGTGAGCACCTGGTCACGGTAAGCAGCAGCTGTGAGGTTTCCATGGATGACCAGAAGTCGGGAACGGTTGTTCCCACAGAAATTACCCAATACAATGCAACTTCCGCCCCCGAATCTGTCGACTTCCTGTACACAACATTGGGCATACCGTTCACGACGTCGTCTCCAGACTCTGTGCCTGCCGTCCGCGAATCTGAGGGTAAACCTGGATTCTTTTCTAAAGGCGACTCGATTCCAGTCTCTCTGGGTCCATCGGAGGTGCCCACAGCAGACGTTGACGTTGATGAAACGGCGTCAATATTGGCCCACGATATGGACGTCGAGAATTGAGATTGGCAGCCCGAACCGATTTCGAATGGTCTGTGAGGACAGTCGACCTCTAAAAATCTCAGCCCTGGTTCGTGTAGCTGGCAGAAATCTGTCACGTAGGTGACGTAGGACGATTTGACGGTCTTCTGCTCGTGACGTCACACTTTGACGACCCGACCTTGGGCGATCAGAAGTGGTGCCAGTTTGTTGTAGACCACCTCGCAAGTCATACACAGTACGACGGCTGCATCCCATTGCTCTTGCGACGTCAATAACTGATCTTCTCGCTTGCAACATGCCAACGGCACGTTCACGTTGCACATTTGACAATCGTGGCATTTCAAGTACCGTTAGAACTGTGGTTTAAAAGTGTTTTTTTTCAATTCTTGAGGCCAATGCAAACACGTGCATATGAAGAAAACTTCGATGCGAAGATCACGTGATCGACTGCACGTGCAAAACCTGATTTGGCACTAACGTCATTTGCACGAGGTATGGATGGGTTTGAGTGGGTTTCGCTAACCTTTTTCTAGAGTCGAAAGATAGGGATCCCATGTCGGATACATAGATGTATCATCAGAGAAGAACTATTCATTATTTTTCAAATTACATTTTGTGAAGTTTCTTATTTGACTCAGTATATATTGTAATACGCCAACACATATCACAATATATCGCAATACGAAAATTTTGGCAATACCCAACCTTACCTGTTAACGCTAATAAAACGATCCTTCGCATACAATGTTATTTTCCTGCAAGTATCGAAACCTGATAATTTTCACTAGACAGGAATCCATTTGTTCCGACCAGAGGTAACTGAATATGACCTTAATCGCTCATAGACTTTCTTCGTAAGTTTTTCGTCCTAATATAGTGTCTACTGATTGCTTGCTTTTGTGTTTGGTGCTTTGACGTTTTCTGTTTGTAAATAATAGTGTCTTGATTATATAGTTTTAAAGGAATTTAAAAAAAAAAAAAATTAAAAATCTTTTGGACTTTGTACTTAAAATGTGTATGAATTCAGACTAGATCTCGTCACTATATAGCTGGAATAATGCCCATGTAGCGTAAAGCAAAAACTTAAGTCAACTCAACATTAAATATAGTGTCCCTCTTGAATGCCAATAGCTGCACCCTTTTTACAGTATTTTATATCGCATTCTAAAGAAGAGCTTCCTTATAAGCATTGTCATCCAATGTGATGAATCAGGCTGACGTGGATGCGATAACATTGCTGGACAAATTCAGGACAAGACTTAAAAATATTCCACTATCATTCCATTGTATTTGTATCACCTTTTCTGAAGTATCCGCTCGATCCGTGCTGCCAATTGAAGTGATAGGTCTGATCCTTGATCGTCTCGCAAGCTTTTTTTGAGATTCTTGAAAGCGCATGCTTCAGTTATATCCGTGTATGTTTGATCCGGTAAAGGACGACTGAGGTATTCAGCCATTCTTCTTGTTTCTCTGGTACAATCCTCGCACAAATTAAATCTATTCATGTCCTACAAATGAAATAATTTTGTCAAATATGAATATATATTATTATACTGAACCACAATAGAAACGTCGCCTTTCAAAACCAAATGCAATATTTTGTTCCTACAAAATGGTGTTTTGATTATGATTGTACCTTTTGCTAACATGTTTTTCAATCCAAATTAACAGTTATTACCAATATCAGTGTGTTTTCTGATGAAAAAGCATATCGACCAAATGTACCTAGAAACGCAGATGTGGTAGAAAGTTCCGTATGACATTCGTAAAAATGAAAATGCACGTGCATATCGTGACAAACCTACAAATGAAAGCGAGTCTCAAAACTCGCCTGAAATCATTTATGTTTTGACTCAATCGCCATGGCACGAGAGATCGGAGGAAGTCTTGGGACGATTGCAAGTTGGCCAGACTGCACGGAGAGTAGCCAATAATTTTACTGTTCTTGTTAGGACAATCTGCCGACTGCAGGAGTGGTATCAGGTCACTAACATCATCCAAAACCGCGACCTTCAGTAACATCACAACGTCAAGACCGACAGATGGTGCGCCACCATCTGCAGGATTGCTTCCCCAGATCGACGGAAACAGCACGTCCCATTGGGACTCACAAAAGACCCATTAGTGCCGATAGAGGGCGCCGAGGTTTACGCGGAAAAACAACTGTCACAGCCCATATCGCAGTTCTGTCCTCATATTTCATCACCGCCAAAACCCACTTCTGTGGGCAACTCACCATCAAAATTGAGTTATCGACAGTGGAGAACTGTGTTTTTTTCTCATGAAAGCCAATATTGTGTTTCGAAAGTCGATGGCAGAGTGAGAGTAAGGTGAAGGCGTGGGGAACTGTTTTCTAACGTGTGTGTTGTTGAAATAGACTCATGGGGTGGTCCAAGCATCATAGTGTGGGGTGCAATAGGTCTGAACCAGATATTTGGCACCGTGGTGTTCCAGAATCTCGGTCCAAGATGATGAAATGACGTGACAGCTGCTCGCTATATTGATTAAGTCACAGGACCCCACGTTGTACCACATTTTTGACGTTACAGAAATCACATCTTCCAGCAAGACGAGGCACCCGTGAAGAGCCACCTCCTCGTGGTGGGTGCTGGGTAACGCTAAGCGCTCTTCAACCCCCGTTGTGGACCCGGGGGTATATTTGGCCCACCAACCTGTTTGCCGTGGGCTGCGCCCCTGTGTCGGTGGAGGACGGGGGTCTGGTGGTTCATGGCATAGGAACCAGGAACAATGTTCCTATTGCCCACCACACCAGTTCGGCCCTGACTTCACCTAGATGGGCCCGGTTCAACCAATCGGCTGGTCATGCCAAGCCCTGAGCATTACATTATGTAATGTTGCACACAATTTGGAAAATTGTAGCATACTATTTTTAAGTCTTGGCGAATTTTTAGAACTTTAGAATTTCAAATACACACTTTCATGTTTTTGCCTAGAGTCGTATGCCCAGAAGGCGGTGGCTCATGGGCCAATCAGGTGGAATAATTACTTTTGTATTATTCTGCTTGCATATATCATCCGGGTATCATTGGTGATGCAGGCCGGAAACCCGCTTGTTTTTAGCATTGTCCTTGTGATACTCCGTGGAGGGTGGGGAGCCCGGATGATGAAACAATACAAACTTACCATGGCTTACGAAACCCACCGCAAAAAAACAAAACGTCCTCCTGATACAACATTTGTATACAGTTGCATTGTGACGTCATGACAAAGAGACGTCATAACATAATCCGTTCAACTTTAATCACTTCTCCCTAAAGATAAAAGTGAAACATGTTGGAGAAGATCCGTGTGGTGTGATTATTTCAGAAACTTCTTCTTGTTGATGTGCACAAAAGTAAATATAATACATACAAATCCTGATTTACAGATGGGTCCAAGGATGGTGGCGCAGTGGCTTGTGCCATTGTCGTTGAATCCAGAACAATATATTCTAGATTACCAGGCAATAGCTCTATTTTCACAGCAGAAGCAAACGCAATTCTAACAGCTAATAGACACCCTAAATATAAACAATATATCAGACTCTTTCGTGTCTTTGGGTTATAAAACCTCTCTCTCTTGAAAACATGCACTTTAATGGAATAATTGAATGGTATAACGATTTTGCTACTGGTCAATACGATATCGTCCTTTGTTGGTTACCCAGCCATGTTGAAATTTAACACAATGGCCGATTTTGCACCTAAGGCGGCACTCCACAAATTTGTGACACCACGTCTCATCCCATACACTGATTACAAAGCTACTATTAGATCGTATATCCGTGATCTGATGCAAAATATGTGGGACACTCAAGTAGGTATAAATAAATTACATGCAATCAAACCAACTATCGGTAACACCTACTTGGGTTGTCAGTCCAGATTTGAGAGGTCATCATGCGACGATGACGCATTGGCCAGACAAGATATGCTCATGAATATTTATTGAAAAGTGAAGCTGCTCCATTTTGTATCCCTTGTGATGAGAGAATCACGGTCAAGCATGTCCTGGGATAAGTATTTGAAGAGATAAGTATTTCAATGTCTAAACAATTAAGGATCTGTTTAATAGTGTTAATTATCATTTAAAAATTGTTTTTTAAAGGAATTATAATTATTAGATACATTTTGAACAATGTGTTATGTAAATAGATAAATTATATTTTTAGGAATGGTAGTATGAATTATCAACTGAAATTGTTTGAGGCTGTATCCTCAAAAGGGTTAAAATATCGTAAAATTATTGTCCTCCTGAGAGGGTACGTAGGTCCCAAAATGTTCATACTAAAATTTAAACTTACCAGATTTTTCAAATGTAGTATTTTGGTTATTTCAAACTATGACAACATTTTGCTTCAATAACCAGCGGCTAAGTCAAACTACA